GAACCGGGGCCCTCTGGCGTCCCAAGCCAGTTCTTAACCATCGCACCACTCGGCTGGCCCCCAAGCCAACTCTTAACCAATGAGCCACTTGGTCAGCCCTAGATAGTGTTATTTTGTTTTAGTGGTCATAGGCTTAAAAAATACTGTTCTTGTTCAAATGTCAGGATTATTCTAAGTGCTTAGCTTTATATGAAGAATATTGATTGGTCAAGTGACCAATGGTCAAGTGAACAAATTCTGAATCAGACATATCAAGTTCAAATCCTAGCTTGTTCATCTACTATCTTTTAGACTTGGATATTTTACTTATCCTGTCATCATCTATTGTAATTTCTTAAATGCGGATAATAATATTGTGAGGATTAAGTGAATGCTTGAAAAATGCATACCATAGTGCCTGGAATGTAGTAAGGGCTCTACTGCTACTATTGTTATTATCAAGTGATCTTGACTAATAATAGCCTATTACTAGAATTATTCTATAGTACAACTAAAAGACTTTTATAGTGCTGTAAAATACAACTTAATTGTTGATGTGTTACTATTAAGTAGAAATCTTGAAATAGAGGATTGAGAATTTGACTCTGATATATGTACTGAGAAAGCTGGTGAATTGTAACTGATTCATGGACTCAATCTTTATTAGCTAGAAGCAAGACTTTCCCTTGGCTGTAGCTCGAGGTATGTCTCTGCCTCACTCCCTCTTTATTTCTTTACTTTTTCTCCTCCACGCCCTCTCCCCCTTCACTCTCTCTCTATGCTCTTTCTCCTAAACTTTTACTCATAGCTGGGGCTTGTCTCTTATGCTTATTGTGCCACTGTCTGGAATCTGCCATGCCCTTCTTTCATGACCAATCTCTGCTGGTTGCCATACCCTCCAACACAATTCCAGTACTCACATTATCTCTACCCTCCCATTCCGACCGCCACTGCTTTCACCCACTTGGTCACCACGTTCCTTCTCTCCATATCTCCACTCCCTCTACTTCCCTGACTGTCTCCCTTTCTTCTTTTCTGCCCTCTAGTTCTGTCTTCCTCTCTTGTAAAAATATTTTACTCATTGTTAAAGAAAAGTTTAGCATCTATTGCACAATGTAATCCAATACCTTTAAATTGTTTTTAAAAGAACTACGTATATGAGTGAATACGCACACACACACACACACACACACACA